AGAGGCTTAATGTGAACTGCACCTTGCAATAACACTACTGTAATAAAACTTGAATCAGTAGTCAAATTGACGCATAAAGCAACTGGACTAGGGGATTAAGATGCTGAGCTCAGGCTGAGACACCTCTAAAGAGAAGAAATATGACTCCATCTAAGGTATCAAATAATTTAGGAAGAACGTTTAATGAAAAATCAACTCCATTAAACTAAACAAAACAAAAACAAAAAATAAAATGCAAACAAACAGCAGAAATAAAGATTCCCAAGTTATTTCATCAAACAATTTCTAGTACACAACAAAATGAATCTTAATTTGTAGAAGCTCAGGAATATATGAAAGTTTCTACTCATGGTAGTAACTGACGGTGCAAATTCAATGAAGGAAAGAAGAGTCAGAGGAATCAGCAACCAAAATATAAAAATTAGCTAGCAGGCTGGTCGTTGGCTGGAGCAGCAGTGGGTTCTACCGATGTCTGTGGGGAACCACTGGCAGCAGAATCTTTGTTAGGTGCCTCTTTAGTTGCATTTGATACTGCATCTTTTCCATTTTTGACGTTCTTTTCATCCTTAGCATCTTTACTGTCCTTAACAGGAGCAGGAGGTGGCGGCAACATGTGAGGCGGAGGATTATGCTTCAGCTTCACCAGTATATGTCGCATCCTTGAAAGCTCGGTAGGCTTGCCAGGTTTTGGCCCTTGGACTACAGTGATGGATGGTTTCTTGTCTTTATCCTTCTTCTTCCCCCGCTTTTCAATATTGGGTACCTCATTAGGAATGAGCTCGGCTATGGATTTCCAATATTGTTTATCAGCTTCTTTATGGAACTTTTCTAGACTGGCCAGGAATGACTGTAAAAACAGAGGAATTCAACAAATGAGTTTTTTAATCAGAAATTGAAGAAAAAAAAGAATTAATAGCGGGTATATTGATATATAACACAACCATTTCTTTCTCTCTGTTACTAGTCTTGTTAGTCTCTAAACCAAGCTTTCTTTTCTCATAGAAAGCTTTTTTAAATTCTTCAGCATCCTCTAGAATTTGGTTCCGCAATTCTTTTTCCCTATTCTCCTTCTCCTCGAGCCGAATGGCGTTTTGCCTGCATCAAAACCATGATGAAATTAAGAAGTTTCTCAACACACATTAGTATTTTCATCGCTACACTTCAACCAAACAGAAGGCTGGGGGATTTTAGTTAACACCAAAAAGCTAGTAACTTTGAAAATCACTCGCTTTAAAGAACTTCTCTGTTTCATAATTCATGCTTCGGCTTGGGGGAGGGAGGATATTAGTTAACTCTAAAATAACAGGAAAATTTTGCACTTGGTCTCTATCTATTCTCTACATCATCATTTTTTTGTTCCCTATTCAAGCTTTTCATGCAATGTCCACAACTGCTTTATCACCAAGAGAAAAATGGTCATAGTGCACATAAGAAGAATCTGGAGTTTTTGAGGTGAAGGTATAAGGTGGATTTTTATTGTAAAGATTTCTAGTCATAAGATTTGTTAATGGGCCAGTCAACTTTTGTCATCTCCTCTAATCATATCCTCAAGGAAAAGAATGATGTTAAAATGGATATACAATTAAAGCGTAACTTTCAATATGTTTGAAAATCTAAACTTCTAACCGGTTACATATAAGCCACATAGGACATGTTTGGCGTACCATTTTAGATTGGTTAAGGATTATATATGGTGTTTCGTGCAATTAGTATCCTCAAACTGACTTTCAACTACACATTTTC